AAAAGTAAGAATGGGTGGCTTCTAGTGCTGGGAGCCCAAGCTTCATCTCTGGGCAGCAAGGAGCTGCTCCCTGGTGGCAGTGGTGGTGGAGGGGGTGCTGGACCACTCAGGGAAGTGACTTCTTGGACTTCCTTCTTGCTGCTGAAGAACCTGAATCTTTCACAAGGCAAGACACGTTAGCATGTGACTTGAGCATGTGTGTGTAGGGTGCGGGAAGTGGCTGTCTGGGTCCCATTGACCTTGGCCTCAGTTTCCCCATTGCATCCAGTCTGTGAGCAAGAAGCAAGAAGGGGCTTTACCAATGATCTCTTGGATGTGGACAGGGTGGTCCAGTACAGCTGCAGGGCCCGCCCCTGCGGAGCTAACTGCAGTCACACGCAGGAAGAACTTGTCTCCCAGGGCCAGGTTTCGAACCGTCTGCTGGGTCACCATCGCGGGCCGGGGATTCACAGGCACCCATTCTGAGGCTGAGGGCAGTGGAGAAAGTCTGGGTCTTAGTGACGTGGCAGAAGCATCCTTCTCATGGGGCTTTTTTTCTCAAGGGTGATCACGGACAGAAGCTGACCTTACTTGGGCTATAGTCTCCCCCCTGCCCTCCGCTTTTGTAGCATCAAGTAACATCAAAGCCAGGTGGTGTTAGAGCTCTGGGATGCTGGCCAGAGGTGGGGATGCAGAAGGCCAGAGAAGGTTGGGCGTGTTCACCAAGTCACACAAAGCAAAGTAGGGGTAGAGGCAGAAGCCGGGCTGAACATGGCTGTCAGGGACCTACTTTCCCTAGCTCTCCTCATACCTCTCATTTTAGGGTCCCCTCTTCTGTATCCCCCTACTTCCTGTCTCCTGGGTTAATCCCCCCAAAGTCCTCTGAGATGTAGTACCTCCTTCCCGTCTCATTAGATCTATGCCCCACCCTTCTGTTCCTCAGAGGCTCCTTGGAGCTGGAGGACGGAAGGTCTCCTGAGGTCACTGAGCACCTCTTCCTGCAGAGGTCCCTCTGGAGCAGGAGGTGGTAGCCAGGTAGTTAAGACCACTGCTCACACCTTCTTCCTTTCTAGTTCCCTGGACTGGGCTTGTCCCTGCTGTCCTAGCCCTGCTTAGCTGAACAGAAGCAGGACTAAGCCTGGTGCTCACCTCCCTCTCGACAGAGCTCCAATACATAGCCTTGAAGCCCCAGCTTCCCCAGCTTCTCGGGGGGCTCCCAGCTCACAGTCAGGGAGCTCTGGCTCACATCCTCCAAGGTCAGCTGCAGTGGGGCACTGGGGACATCTGAGAGAGGGGGAAATGAGGGTGAGATGAGGAGCCCCTCCCTGCATACCTGCCTCCCTTCTCCACCTGCCCCCACCTTTTAGTCACCTTCACTTGGAGGTTCAGGCTTAGTGGTTGCGGGTATGGCAGAAGCTTCAGGGGCTTCGGGGTCCAGTGCCTGAGAGTCAGGCTTCTGTGGCTCTGGAGCCTGCTCTTGCCCCGTGGACTCTGATGTTACCACCTCTCCAGAAGACTCCATGGTAGGCACCTGGGCAGGCTCAGGCGCTGTCTCGCTTGGACTGGAGACAGAAGCCTCAGAGCTGTTTTTTCCTGTCATTTCTGAGCTGGTTGGGGAGGGGGTCACGCTGGAGTGTTTGGTGGGTCAGCTGCAGGTCTGAGCTTCCAGAGTGCCCGAGAGACCTAGGTCCAGGCTTATATAGGCAGGGTCTGCCCCACCCCTAGCACACCATTCCCAGCTGTGGGGTCAGGTCAGGCAGGGGGACAGGGGGGCAGGGAGCTCCCAGGCCAGGAATAGCTCTGGGGGAGGAACCACAAGGGCCCCTTGAGGAACATACTACCTCGCCATCACCCCAGCTAGACCTCACAGCCAGGGTGCCAGTGCCCAGACAGAGAGGGCATAGATAGGTAAACTGGGACATCGCTGGGCTTGGGTAATGAGACTGGCCATCTGGAAAAGGAGATCAAGTCAGTTCCATGAGTCTGGTTTCCTCAGGGCCCCCTTCGGCCTGCGTGTCCATGGAGCGGAGCCTGGAATTAAGAACACTTGAACCAGCCCTCCTTGTGAGCCCTCCTGCTTTTACCTTTTCACTCTGCCTTGGTCCCCCAGTCTCTGGGGACTCTCATGGGGACTGTGTGACGCTAAGACCCCACCCACCTATGGACTCTGGAGAGGCAAGAACTGAGATGCCCAAGGTGAGGCTGGCCAGAGGCAGGTGCTCCAGTGTGATTCCTAGGCAAGGGGCTCTCTCGGTTGGTCTCACTGCAGCACCAAACCATAAGCGCTGTGAACTATAAACAACGGAGGGGGCCTTTCCTCACGGCCCCAGAGGCCGAGGAGTCTAAGAACATGCTGCTCCGCATCCAATGAGGAGTTTTGTGCTGAGCCGGAACACAGAGAATGGGTAAGCCAGACAGGAAAACAGACTAAATCACGCCTTTTATCTAGTTCCCACTCTGGAGATAAATAACCCACTCCTTAATAATGACATTAATTTACTTACGAGGGAACTGTCCCATGACCTAATCACTTCTTTAAAGGCCCCATGTCTTAACACCATTGGTGACCATTAGAGGCGTGTTAGAGGGAGCGTTCAAACCATAGCAGGGACCAAGTAAGCCTCTTCCTGTTTCTGTGGCAAGCTGGGAAGCCCCTGTTTTCACTAATCCCCAGGCCTACTGAGAACCCCCACCCTTGAGGATAAGACAGACAGACTTGAATTTCTCAGACTCTTCAAAAAGGGACAGAGGCTTGGACTCTCCCAGGGTGGAAAATGGAGCAGGTTCAGCCTAATTCCCAGTCCCTGATTCATTTATTCAAGAAGATGTTAGGACTGGTAATAATTTGAAATTCAGAAAATAAATACCTTGTGTCGGGAAGGAGGGGGAACAGCCAAAATTTTCACTGTGGGTGGGAGTGTGGATCAGAGCAAAGACTGGAAAATGAGGCAGGGCATTGGTGGCAACGACCATGTGCCTAGTGGATGACTCTGGGCATCCACCTCTGGGCTCCCAGGAGACGTGGATGAGACTCCACCTCTGGGCTCCCAGGAGACGTGGATGAGACTCTCTGTGGTCTTTGAACAGGGGGTGGATGAGCCACTGGCGCGGTTACACAGTTCTGAAGCAGGAGTCTGATTGATGATGATGGGGTACCCCAGCTGATCTCACACACCAAAGGGTGAATCACAGAAACACGGGGATCACTTTGTCCTTGAAATCCAAACCCAGAGCCCTGTGAAGCCTCAATTTTCAAAATGCATCCATAGTTGGTATGCCAAATAAAAAAAGGAAGGCAAGGCCAAGGTTAGTCTAAAATGATAGCCTCTGGGTGAGGGGACAAGGACGCCCATGACGGACGGTAGAGGCTTCAAAGTGTCGCAGAGGTTTCCCCTTTGATACATAGAAGATCTTTAAATTAGATGACTCTCTCTCACTCTTAAGCAGGCATGATGTATCGCACAATTTAGGAATAAATGGACGTGTAATTTATTTAGGGCTGTCAACAGCATCCTGGCTGTCCCTCTTCATGAGGACAGGGCAGAGCAGTATGGCTGCCTCTCAGCCCCAACTGTCCTCGTATGGAGTGTCCACGGAGAGACTGAGGAGCCTAAGGGTCCAACTCTGCCTGGGCGTCCATGGCCTCTGGGAGGTGACTCAGTGTTGTGCTGGATAGGGAGACCCGATCTCCACTTTGGCTTCTGACTCTGCAGCTATAAGCGAATGTGACTAACTCGGCAGGACCCTGAGTCAGCCCTGAGAACCTGTCCCAAACTGGGAGAAGGGGGGGGGCTCAGGAGGCAGGGTAGCTCACAGCCCTGAGGTTCCAGAGGCCTTGTGTGGTAAGGTGGACTGTGGGCAGGCGTTAGGGACTGCTTGGCCCACTAGCCAGCATGAAATGCCAGGTTTGCTCTACCCCTAAGATCCTGGCCCAGCACTTTGCCTTTAGCAGAGTGGTAACCTTGGAAATAGTTGCATGTGCCCAGTTCCAGCTGGTTCAGATTTCAGGGCCACAGATTGGTGTTGGCTTTTTTACACCTCAATACTGAGTCACCAACATCAGCCATCTAATGATTATCCCAGGTCAGATGATCCCCAAAAGTCAAAGAACCCGCAGATGGAATTCAGCAGGTTTAGAATACATCCTATCCAGGTTCCCTGAATAAAGTCACATCCGGGCTCCTGGCAGTTCCTGAGACCCTGGTCGGAGCGTCCCCTCCTCACAAAGGCTTGTCTTCTGAGCCAATGCTATTCCATCTTCCTCACCTGCTGTCTCAGGTCAGCTGGGGCAAAGAAGATCTGATCTCCTCACGAGCCAAGGAAGTGGTGTGCAGGGGGAGTGAGCCAAGGACTGAGCTGGGGACAAGGACAGCACTGGACGGTTGACAGTCTCAGTCCAGCGGCTGGGTGGACTGCCTTTAAGATAATGAACTGTGGGGCACTTAGGAGTGGGAGGCTAGAAGGCCAACTCTCAAGGGTCTGGAGAGACCCAGCCCTGGACAGCAGGAAGGGTGCGTGAAAGGGTACCGTCCTTGCTGGCCTTAACGTTCTGGGTTCCTGCGCATTCTAACCATATTCTGTGGTTGTCTCTCAACACCTTTAGAGGATCAGAAGACATGTGCTAGGTAAAAGGTCTTCTTTCAAAGCCCTGCAACAGTCTCTATCCATAAGGAACTTAGTTTGGAAGTCTGCAGGACAAGGGCTTTAGTATCTGGATTGCTGTCAGCCATGCTTGGGGAAAGTCTGAATTTCCACCCCACCTGAGGAAAGCACCTCCCGTTGAGGCTCCTTAGGACCCAGCACAGGGCATCAAGACCTCACTTCTGCCAGCTCTGATACCCAAGCCTCAGAAAAAGGAATCCAGAAAAGACAGGAGAGGTGGGTGCCATGGTCCCATGTACCCATGGAGATGACCAAAATGAGAGAGACACACACTGTTAAGCTCTTGTGCTTTATTGAGCAGCTGGGGAATTAGGAAAGGGAAGTGGGATAGAGATGTGATTATGTTCCTAGCTGAAAGTTTCAAGTTGGGCTTTGCAGAAGGTATAATTAGTATGGCCACTGTATCATGTAAGATGTTTGCCTACTTGATGGTATAATGTGCCAAAATGGTGTCCTTTGGTCAGGAGCGCTGAAGGAAAGGCAGTTGGAGAAAATCCTTTGTGCTGGGCTTAGCATCTGAGAATTTCCATTCCTCAACCGAGATGTGCTGAACCTGGTCTCACACGGTGACTCTGACGACCCCACTGTCCTATCCTGCTTCTCTGTTCACCCCGGCTGAGCCCGGTACCATGTGAGAAAGAGAGAGCTAAGCCTTAGCAAGTGCCTCCTTGATGGCATTGGTGAGCGGGAAGCGTAGGTTCTGCCCACAGAAGGAGCCCCGGAAGTCGTCCAGATCCAGCGCCCACACCATGGCTCCTGCCAGCTGCTTGCTCTTCAGGTACTGCACCTGGTGGAAGAGGTCCAGAGAAGGCAGGGTTGGTTCTCTGGGTGAGGCGTGGGGGAACTGTGCTCTGGGACCCTTCCCCAAAGGACCTGCACACACCCAGGCTCAGCTCTGGCCTTCTAGGTTCTGGGGTGTGGCTTCTGGGAAACCTACCTTGTTTCTGACACTCTCCTGATCGTCATACCCCACCCACTGGTTGCCCTTGGTAGCATAGGGAACCTGCTGGCCAAGGATTCTGTGCACGTCAGCTCCTTTGAGGAAATCACAGATCTGTGTAGAGAACAGGGCAGGGAGTGGTGTGGGTAGCTTGTCAGGTCGCTAGCAGTCACCCTTCAGTCTGTAGCCTTCCTCTCCTGAGGCTACCTGCTGCAGGCTTCATGCAAATTTATGAAAAACAGATGCAAATGCCCCAGAGTTCAGCTGCTGTAGCCTGAGGGCTTTAGAGATCTGATGGCTTCCTTGCCCCTTAAACAGAGTTGTGAGGAAAGTGAGCTGCTCCAGGGCAGGCCCCAGACCACATAGCGCTTCAGAGGCCTACACACATAGAGACCATTGCTTTTTCTGGGGTAGAATGAAGACCCCAGGTCTGAGGCCAGAGGAATATTCCAGGAGCTTGGTGCCTGCTGGAGGCTTTCAGAAATATCAAAGACTTAAGCTCTCCCGTGTCTTCCTAGGGAATGCTAGGGCAAACAAGCATGTTTTTATTCCCAAAGGAAAAAGTGCGTGTGATGAGGGAGGCCCCTCTTCCCTGAGCCAGCCTGTGAAGCAACACCATTACCTACCTCATAGTAGGCGAGGACCCCTTTCTCCTTGGTGAACCGGCCTGGTAATCCTGGTCCTGAGATTGGAGCTCCTACCCCCATCTCAGAAGATGCCAGAGTGAAGCTCCTCCCAAAGGTGGGGATTCCCATCACTAGCTTGCTGGCTGGGGCTCCCAGCCTCAGCATGTATCCCACGGCATAGTCCTGGGGTGAGGCAGAGGCACGGGAATGATTAGCTAGGCTGGGCAGTGTGCAGATGGGGCTGTGCAGTTAATACCGCTGCCTTGACAGGTGCCGTCACAGTTACATGGTGCCCCCGGGAATCCCAGTCCCTCTGGGAACTGATAATGCTGGTTAAAAAAAAAAAAAAAAAACGATTTTTAAAGGTTTGTTCTTGAAAAGCTCCTTGTAGGCATAAGAAGGGATTATTAATGTGTGACAGGCACAGAAATTGGCTGGCTGGCTCGGGGTGCACGCTGGGTAAACGACAGATTGAAGCTAGTCTCCAGCCTCTAAGTCCCCAACCCCTCTTTGTTCTGCCTTCATTCAGTCTACCCAGCAAGGCTTTCCTCAGTTTCCCCATCTGTGAAATGACTTTCATAACCTATTTTGCAAGGAATGTAAGGAAAGAGAGAAGGGCAGCTGTATGCGCCAGGGCTTTGTGACTCCCTCCCACATTCCTTCCAGGAACCCACCACATTGCTGAATCTGTCCGAACTAGTGTCCTTTTGGCCTCGGAAGAGAGGGCTGTGGTGTCCTGTGGTTTGGCGCCAGGCTCCATGGAAATCATAGGCCATGAGACTCATAAAATCCAGGTGTCTAAGGGAAACGAGTCAGAGGTGAGGTGGGAAATGTTCTTGACTTCACAGCCAAGGCCCAGTAGGATGTGGGAAGCAAGCATCTGAGAAGCAGGCATTGACCCAAAGCCAGTAGCTCCAGAGACTGCCGTTCTGCCCACTGGCCCACTTCTCCGGAGCCACTCCTGGGTGTGGGCTCTGGTCCTGGTGGCGCCCTGCTGGTGAGAACATGCACACACATGGGAGCTGATCTCTGCTGCACCTCAGCCTCCACTTCTAGCATGCTCATCTTGGCAAAAGCAGCTGAAAGTGCCGTGGAAGGAGCGGTATCAAAGGCTGGCTCAGCCTACATTCACTCAATAACCCTACGGAGAAGGGACTGTAGGCAGAAGGCACCAGTGTGAGCTTTGGAGATTTGGAACAAATAGGTACACCCCTTCTTTCCCATGGGACATTTAAAACAGCGGACTAACTATATCCCCAAGATTCTAAAGAAGATCGAAGATCCTTGCTTCTTTCTGCTGGGTTTCCCGTGACTTGCCTGAGCCTTTGGGAGAGTTGACTGTTGGCAGCTCAAACTCCTGTGTAAGGAGAACGATCTGGGTGATAGGAAAGGGAGCTGCCTCCCTCTGCGTTCTGACACACAATGTTCTTTTGCTGTCGGTTCCCCCTCCTGGATCTAGCGCTCTGCTGGGCTTAGCAGGGAGAGAGTGTCAGGTACACGGTACAATTCACTACCACTTTCAAAATTCACCCATAGCCGTGCCCTCAATTGGCCAACAGCTTTCCAAGTGGAAAAGGAAGTATAGGGCTCATCGTGGGGAAACCGAGTCATGGAGAGGGGAGAGACTTGCTAACGTCTATGGATCGTTTTGGAACTCCTGAGTCTCACGGGATGCTAGGGCAGGTTGAGGAAAAGTGTTGCCAGCAGAGGCTTCCGAGGTGCTGCCAGGGCAGGAGACTCACTGGGATATCTGGGCGATGTCATAGCCACTGTCAAGGGCCACCTTCCCTGCTGACATAGCTGCGCTGAGCAGGAGTTTCTCTGTCCCTGGTTGGACTTCTTTTGTGAATTCGGCCTTCAGTTCCTGGGTGGGAGGCAAGCAGGGAAGCAAAAGGGAGCAGGCACATGAGAGAGGCTGATGTGGGGAGACCAAGGCCCTGGGTGGGAGGGTGTCTTGCTGACCTCCCCCACAGCTGTGTGTGTTCAGGCAGAATGAGGAATCTGGACACCCGTGCTTTTGCTAGAATATGATCTGAGGGCTGGGGAAATAGCTTTGTCTATAAGGTATGAGGTCCTGAGTTTAACTCCCAGAACCCACATGAAAAGAGTAAAAAGCTAGGCATAGCGTGCGTGCTTGTAACCCCAGCACCGGGGAAACAGAGGCAGGCCAGTCCCCAGGGTTTGCTGGCCAGCCAGCGTACTCTACTTGTAAGTTCCAGGCCAATGAGAACCCTTGTTTCAGAAGAATAAAACAAGGTGGAGAGAGCTTGAATGACACCTGAGTTTGACCTCCACATATGTTTTGCATATATGTGTATGCACCCCTGAACATGCATGTTTACCTCCCTACACGCACAGACACACACATGCACACACACACACACTCAAACTTGCGCATATATATGTGTGTGTGTGTTTGTGTGTGTGTATTTGTATATAAACCCACAATATGGTTTGGACTAATATCATCCTCAAAACCTATGCACACCTGTCCTGGGGGCACCATATTGTGGGTGATGACCTTGGAAGATAAGTGTCTCTTGGTCTGCATTTTGTTTTACACGAAGTTACAAGGTCACAGGGATCCACCCTGGTCCTGCAGGTGGTTTGTTGACAGCTTTTCTCTGTCTCTGAAAACTGCAGGGACTTGACCCTCAGATTGACCCGTGTGTACAGTGCATGTTGGTTAGCTGGTGGCATCAGTTTGGGACTGGACATTCGACAATGGACACCTCACTTAGTGGGTAGTAGGTCATGTAGAGTGGGCACCCTGCTCAGCCACTGGTTTTGGCCTCTTAGGACTCTGCCCCCACCACCCACAGTGGTTCGAACATGTCTTCCTTGCTGAAGCCCTTCTGCGCATCCCTGGGAGGTTTGTCCCCATGCTGATGCTCCCCCCACACCTCTGCCCTATGCCAAGCACCTTGATGAGGGTGGTGAGATGCTGCTTGTCTTTTGGACCAGGGTAGAGCCAGGCAAGATCCAGCCCATCAAAGCCATGGGCCCGCAGGAATGGGGCAACCGACTTGATGAAGGTCCTGCGTCTCTGAGAGTTGGAGGCAATCCTGGAAAATCTAGAACAAAACCACCACAAAATGAGCTTGGCACTCACATGCCAGATACCCTGTCCATACACTGGGATTTCCAGAACTTGGGAGCAGGGGCCTGAACTGCCAGATCTAGGAGAACATTCTGGGGAGAGCACCAGGCTGGGAACTTAGAACGGGCCAGACATTCCTAGTGTCCCAGATTAGCCTGCCATTTTGAGCAGGTTGCAACCTGAGTTACACCTGCCTGTCTGTAAAATGGGGTAACCATAACACCTGATACAGTGGTTGGTATAACAGCAGGGAAGCGTCCTGGTGGCCTTCCAGCCCCCTCGCTGCCCTGGCTCTGCTCTGATGACTCCAAGGCCCCTTTCACAGTCTCAATCCTCTCCACCCCCATTGCTTCCTTCCCACCCCACCCAGCCTTCATGGCAGTAACTTGGAAGTTGTTTTCATGCCCAAGATAAAGTAATAAGAGCTTTGCAAGAGCTAGGAACACTGGCACATGCCCACGATCCCAGTATTTGGGGATTGAGGCGGGAGAATTGTCCAAAGTTTGAGGCTAGCCTGGACTATGTAGGAAGTTTGAGGCAAACCTGGCAACTTATCAACAAAAATTGCAGAAAACAAATAAGCATTTTGTGTGTGTGTTTTTTTTTTCTTTTTGCTAAGTCCCTCTCTCTCTCTGGCCCTGTTTTTTTCATTACTGAGGTCTCGGTGCCCTGCTAGACTCAAGCAACTGTAACTCTCACCTTAGAGCCTTGACTCTACTCCATTGCCCCAGCAATGAGTCCTACCTTTGAGAGCCAAAGTTCCATCCTCCAACAGACAGGAGGGTCTTCAGGTTGGGGTTTCTGTGGGGCAGGATAGTGGGGAGAGAAGGGGTGGAAAGGAGCTGTCATGATGTCGCAGACCCCGTATCTGCAGCCCATAGAAGAGTTCTGGCTTGCAGGGGGCTGGGTTAGGTGCCTGCCTCTGACATTGGTGTTCTAGGCTCACACAGGCTTCATGGTGGTGACTCAGAGGTTCCCACAATGGGCAATGAGAGGTAAAGGGGGCTCACAGGTGGCACCATGCTCCACAGAGCTGTTGTGGGGGTGAGAGGCCCCTTCCCTGAGCCTCGGTGCTGTTCCCTGTCACCTTGTGACCATTCCAGCATCACCCGCCCAGGGTACCCTCCCCCTGAAGCCAAGCCCCCCCCCCCCCCCACCACAATCCTTCCCCAGGAGGTTCCTTGGGTCACTGTCCTCCTGTACCAAGATGTCCTGCTGTAAGACCAGCCGAGCTACCTGCCCTTCCTCCCCTCTCCTGGCCAGCTTGCGACCCCACCTGGTTTTAAGCGCGTTCAGCGTGCCATAGAGTGTCACATCATTCCACTCCCATGTGTCAATCTCATTGTTGCTGATGTTGGCAAAGCTGTAGATGATGTGGGTGCATAGGAGGTGATCGATGGCATCTGGGAAGCAGCTTCCATCGCCTTCCCGGTACTGGGACCAGCTGGTGTAGTAGCAGACCAGCTTGTAGGCAGAGCCTGAAGGAGAAATCTGGGTGGGACTGAGCACCGATGTGGTGTGGAGGTGTGGGCTGGGGGTGGGGACAGAGTGTTGAGCAAAATGAAAAATCTTTAAAGGAAAGGAGCGGGCCCAGCCTCCCTGCCTGATGCAAGCTGATGCTTGGGAATGGTGTGACTCAGCCCAAGGACTGAGGACTTCCTGGAGGCAGTGCCTTCCAAAAGAGACAGAGGCCTGACTGTGCCATCCAGGGTCAAAAGATGCCCTGTCTGCAGCCCAACCTGTCAAGTTGGGAGCATAGGCCCCAGACCCTTGCATCTATCCCAGCCCCCAGGCCTGGTCTGGACTCCAAATCCCAGCAGGTCACTCCCCAGGGTATTTAAATGAACCCCCAAAAGAGGAACACTTGGTCCCTTTTTCTTCCTCCCGGTGGTCGGATTCATGCACTTTGGTGGCTTCCCGGTTCCCCCTCGGGGCCACCTGAGAGCACAGAACTCCCATTAAACCTGGATATTTCTTAATTTGGCTCGCTTTGATTTGGCTTGATTGGGAGTTTTGCGTCGGCAGGGAGCTTGTGTTAGGAAATGTTCCTAACACAACCCTACAGTGGGGTCTTTGATTAGAGAGTGACTTTGTGGGTCTCTTCTCTGTCTCTAGGTGGGAGTGACCAGAAAGGCAGTCCCCAAACTAGGGCACCTTATCAGAGGGGCTGGGAAGGTCTTCCTTTGTTCTAACTCGAATTCCTCTTACTCTAGATGAAATTCCTCTTAGCCACTTAGTCATGGAAGGAAACAGTGGGCCTCACTCATCCCTGTGGCTCCTGGTAGCTGTTCCCTAGGGCAGTTTGAAGCCGTCTTTATGGAATCTGAGTCTTTTTAAGTTTGTTGTTTTGAAAAAGTTCAAATAAATGGGAGAGTGGAGACAAAACATACATATACATATACCACCACCTTGGTTCAACAAGTATTCCCAAGCCCTGTGAGCTATAGAAGAAACCCGGAGGAGTATTCTTTTGTGCTAAGACCTCCTCCAAGAGGGGTTGGGGGGTGGGTACTCACAGCACTGGAGCAGCATCAGGACCGCAAAACCTGGGGGGGAAATCCAGGGTCAGATCTGGTGGCAGGGAAGGGCGACTGCTCTTCCTCCTGCCCCCTCCCCAGGCAAGGGGATGCGTTACCACCAGGTGCCCTTCTTTTCCTTCCTCCCTTTCAAGTTTTGCTCTCTCCACCTGCCCCCGGCTACCCCCTCCCGCCGGCAGCAGGTAGAAGGCCGGGCCCCTGTGCAGGAGCTGAGCAGTCTGACCCCTTTGGACTGAAAATCTCCAGTCCCACCTGACCCAGCCCAGAGACCTGTCAGCGCCACCCTCACACCCATCCCGGCTTCGGCAGAGCTGGACATGGTGGCCTCTCCTGGTACCCAGCTTCCTAGACAGGGTCTCTTCCCCAGGCTTCACACTTCCTTCTTATACCCATCCCACTCCACTTCCCACACCCCCAAACAATCCTCCTTACAGGAACTGAGCTGTGTGTAAACCCCATTGCTGGCCAGTGGAGGCGGGAGCCAGTAGAGGAGATTGGGAAACCCTGGAGTTGTGAAAGCCTAGGGCCAGGTCTTGCCATACCTGCCAGCTGAAGGGCCATGTGGATGATGATCAAGGGCCTCCCTGGGCATGACAGTCACATCTCCAAAGCCTTCTCCCTGCCACTTGCTTCTTGCCAGTATTCCCCCACCTTTCCTGGCGGCTCCTGTCTATGGTTCCGGTCTTCCATCCAGGCCCTCCATCAGGCTGAAGCAGGCACAGTTGGGTTATGTAAGTCATGGCACCCAAACAAGGCCACCATTATATTGCCTGGCCTCCCCTCAGATTTTCTCTGCTTCCTGGCTGTTTGCATACTTGGCCAGAGTCTAGGTAAGGACCAGAGAACCTTGGGGACTGGGGAAGGGTCCCAATCCCCCTCCCCCTTAACAATTGTTGATTATTGAATATAGGAAAATGGGAGAGGAGAGAGAAATTCCTGAGAAGGCCCTGAGCCCTAAGGCTGCCGCCCCCTCTTTTGAATGCAGTACAGATGAATGAGAGAGAGAGAGAGAGAGAGAGAGAGAGAGAGAGAGAGAGAGAGACTCCCGTGTAAGCCCAAGACTGTGGTGAAGAGGCACAGGGCAAACATGGAGCAATAATGGCCAGTGGTGGGGTGGATTCTCTCAGGAGCAGCGGCAGCAGGCTCTCAGATGAGTAACCTCTCCTCTCAGTGATGCTTTTAAAACCCAAACGCATTGAGTCACCCCCACCTCTAAATGCTACAGTGTCTCCCAGGGGCTCTTAGCAGCTTAGGTGCTCTGCTCTGCCCAGCCCTGGCCTCCACCCTTGGCCCTCACAAAAGGCATTTCATTTTCCAAGGTTGTTTTTCCAAGACAAGCATCAAGATGTAGCTCAGGCTGGACACAAGCGTACCAGCCACATTAGTGCTGGGGTTGCTGGTATATCCTGCCATGTTCACCTAAACAACAGCAGCAACAAAAAACAAACAAATGAACAAAGGAAAACCCCTCACAAAACCCGAAAGACCTAATGGCTGCAACAACAAAAACAGACAAAGATGCTTCTCAGGCCACTCTGTGAGCTGTTTAAGAGCACCTTTTCCCCCCCTTGAGATGGGGACAAAGATTCAGAATAATTCCATCCTTTACAGACCAGATATAATGTACAGTTAGTAGACAGTGAGTGAAAAAGTCAGAACTCAGGGCCAGGATGGATTAGAGAGAGGGCTTCTCATTCACACCGTCTGGTGTCTATAGTCCCACTACGTAGGGGTGATGCCATGGTCAGCTCTCTCAGATCTCCACACTCTGCCTGCATAGAAACCCTTGGTAGGCAAGCGCTTCTTTCAGTGCTGGCCTTTCGCCAGAGAAGCCATGGTGTCAGCAATCAGGAAGAGCCACAGGTGGGACCTTCTAAATACCACAGCTCTCCTCAGGACTCCAGGACAGGGGCTCTCAGCTCTCCAGGTGTTACAGCCCTTGTGCCAACCCAGGAAGTATGGGCTCCTCAGACTCGACAGCAGCAGCCAGCACCACACCTTCCTGGCGGACCTGGGCATCAAGATTCCTCAGCTGTTGGCAGCAGTTGTTTCGCATCCTGGTCGTGGCTATGAGAGCCGTGGCTCTACAGGCTTACCCGCTCTTTGGAACTCTTCCAGGGACCAGGCTTGCAGTGTCTTCCTCTGGTTCTCCACAGCTTCAGCCTCCCAGCTCCCCATCTCTTCATTCCCACCACCCTGCTGTGCTGCGCTGGTCGCTGTCTCTCTCACTCTCAGCTCCCAGGCAGCCAGCCACTTGCTGCTCAGCCCCCACCTCGTCTTCTGCTAAGCAGCTAGTTCTTGGGCTTGGCTGCTGCTGCTGCCCCTCGGCTGCCCCATTTCTGCTGCCCTGATGTCTTTGCTGCTTTTTTCTTGTGCCTCCAGCTCAGCCCAGACCACTAAGGGTAGATTAAAAAAGAACACTCAAGAGAAGCTTTGGTTGGGCCTAAAGTCGCAGCAATGAGAGACAGAACAACAAGGTGTCTCCTTGCCGACTCCTGAACAGCCACATATAGGCAGGGCCTATGTTTGAACCAATCATAGCACACCTCACAGGCAATGGGAGTTTGAGGTTTCATGAAAAAATAATCCTTCAGCTAGGCCAGGAGGGGAAGTGTTCCTTTGTTGATGAGGTGGGATGGTTGTTGGGTCATCTAGAGGCAAAAAATGTCTGATACAAATTGTTTGAATTTGAAACAGCTCTGACTGACACTGGGCCTCCAGGAGTCAAAACAGTCAACTACAAACACTGTGAACTCTTATGAGGGTGTCTGTGAAGGCTTCAGAATGGCCGGGGCGAGCATAAGGGTAGACTAGCTTTCTTATTTGTTTATATAGGATTTCACTGTCTGGCCCTGGCTGTCCTGGTACTTACTACATGGACCAGGATGGCCTAGAACTCACAGAGATCCTCCTGTCTTTGTCTCGGGAGAGCTGGGATTAAAGGCGGGTATTACCACACCCCTCCTTTCTGTCTGGCTTTTAGCCTGGCAGTCTTTTTGCTCAAGGCAGACAGGACAGCAAGGAGAAAGCCAACAGCTGCTAATTAGTGAGTCGAATGTCCAGGTCCCCTAATATCTTGGCTTCTTTACAGGAGAATTAGCGTTAGGTGGAGGACTTGCAATAAGGAATTAATCACTAACACAAAAAGTGGCGTTAAGATTATTAAAGGTGCTTTAACAGTGCTTAACCTTTGCCCAGCACCCCAGGGAAAGGTAGCCCCCACCATCTATCTATCTTAGATGTTATCCAGGACAGATTCTTAGCCTTCCCTTGAGGGCTCTCTCCATGCCCCCCCCCCGACCTCACCCCAAACTTTCTAGCCCTATGCTGTAAATAACCATGCAAGAAGGTCCTGAATTAGACTCTGAGCGGCAAACCTTACCAAAGGTTTATTTAAGGTAACAGGCTTCTTTTGAAACAAAGGTTTCTTTAAGGTGGCAGGCTTCTTTTGAATCTAAGATGATTGACAGCAATGGTAGCCACTGAGATGTGTCTCCTGTTTGAGGCACTGTGAGGAAGACTCCCTTGCATTTCTGATGAGGATAGTACAGAATGTGGCCCAGGATATGAAGACAATGCTGCCTGGCTTCATCTTTCCCTTTGTTAGAAGCTCTCTCGTGGGTTCGGATTGCTGTAAGTCTTCTGGTCCTGTGAGCCTTCAGCTCAGTTTATTAGCTCCATATGTCCTATGTGAAGGTGACAGTGTCAGTAGCACTCACTCACTAAGGGGCCCGCGGCTTGCTGCCCCCATCTCATCTCACACCACACTCCAGTCAGTAAACTACGCCCAGCTTCTTCTTTCCGGGCTTTGTGTGTATCTCCTCCCCACCACAGGGCTGTTGCATATGCCACATAGAATAGCCGTGGAAGGCTGGAGGTTTTCCGATGTGCTTAGCAGCTACGGTCCCATGGGCTCTAGGCAGGGTTGTGCTAGCTTCCTCTTTATTGCTATAACAAATACTGTGACTGAAGCAATTTAGAGGAGGAAGCAATTTCAGCTTCCACCACTGAGGGAGGTTGGACAGGAATTCCAGCAGGGATCAGAAGCACAGTGGTGGCAATGGAGGAATGCTGTCTGTTGGCTCACTGGCCTATACTTGCTGGCTCTCAGACTATAGACCAGAACCATCTTCCCAGAATTGGTGCTGCCCACAGAGGGCCAGGCCTGCCCGGATCAATTTACAGTTGCGATAATCCCCTACAGTCACACCCACGGGCCAATCTGATCTGGGGAAACCCTCAATGAGACTCTCTTCTCAGGTAGGCTGTGTCAAGGTGGTGTTTAAAACTAATTAGGACAAAGATAAAGTATAGCAAGCAGCATGAACTTGATGTTTGGGCGACTTCCGCTGGGACCCCAAGCCTGATGCGGCAGCAGCCTCAGGGTTGGGTGCTGTGTACGCCATGGATTGCATCACAGCAGAAGAAACCCTCATTTAAGGAACTTAGATCTTTTAGCAAGAGCCCAGAGGGAGACATTTTCCTTTTGAAACGCACAGCAAACGTGCTGTGTGCTATAGCAGCATCGGCGAAAGGATGCTGGAAACTACTGTTGAGAACACGGACACAGAGCAAAGAGCACCAGAAATGCTGCCCAATACTGCCTGCCCACCTTTGGCCAGTCTGTCCTGCTCGTCCTTCTTACTTCTGTGTGTTTCTTGTCTCCAGGAAAGGCAGAGATGGAGGGAGGATGGAGTTCACTCTGTGTCATTCCCCAAGCCCTGATCTGGCTATAACTGCAGGGCATGTGTGTGAGACTTTATGGATGCCCAAGTCCTGAGATGGACCGTGAATCAATAAGCACAGGGCCACGGCCGCTCATCCTCCTGTGTACCCACCTGAGTGCCGATGCCCAGTGACGGCTTAGTGAAGCTTGGGTAGAAGAGGCAGAGCAGCAAATGTGTGATCCCAAAAGGACACGACACTCCAAAAGCTATTTTAAGTTTGGAACCCAGTGTTCTCAAATTTTCATGCCGCTCATCAGACTGGACACCTGTGGACGGCTGACTCAGGAGGGACCACAAAACCCGTGCTCTGACTTATTTCCCCATCAGGCCTCCCTGGCCTCCCATGTCAATCATTGGCTCATCCAATCCGCGCTTACACAGAAATCAGACCTTGCTGGATAGCTGGCTGTGTCACGGTTGGTGGCGGAGTCAGGAAAGTGAACGGGAGCAGTCAGTGCTCTTGTGAAGCAGAGACCAGCAAAAGAGATGGACGGCAAAGGAAGGAAACAAATCGTTTGCATTGCAGTGTGGCAGCTTGGATGGGACAGTCCTCCCTCCGCAGGGCTGGGAGACTTTACGAAGAGGGAATAGT